AAAACCCTGATGTAGACTAATCAAACTGTGTTACTCCTAACTTTAAACTAAATATATGGTATTTACATTATTTTTAGAGCAATTACTTTCTCCTAGTACTTTCTATAATCTCTAATTACCCCTTACAATGCCAGGGTAATATTTTCTGCAGTAATTAAAGCTGATGGTATCCCTCAAGATACATCTCTGCTTTTTCATTGCATGTGAAAAACAATGTTTAGAAGAAGCCAAGCATTTAACCTGCACAAGAAATGTTGTCTATTAGTCCTTTAGAAATCAACGTTTCATTAAGGATAAGAAAATATAAAGATGATGCAAGCCTGATACTGTAACATATATAGTTTATTTGATAAAAGAGACTTAATTAATTCTCTAATACATTCACTGCCTGTAATTACTTTTTCAATTCATACATACAATACCTTTGAGACGTGACTTGTAGGATTTTTTCCTTCAGAGGAGCAAAGAAAGATTGTGCAAATTACACAGATCAAAGCATATATTGCTTGTTTCTTAATTTTACATATAAAAACTGTTACTGATAGCTATATAGATCAATGACTAGGGTAGAATAAGGGAATAGTGTCTCTCCAGTTTGATATCTAAACAGGCAAAGTAGGACAAATGGGGGGAGGGGAGGAGGACACACTATCTTTTTAGCTTTCTTGGCATCTGCAACTAAATTTACAGTGAAAAGCTGCCAAAAAAAAAAAAAACCTTACTTAGGGCTAAATGTATAGTAGTCCCCAGGTTAAGAACGTCCAGTTTACAGACAACCCATAGTTAAGAATGGAGCCTATTGTGGCAAAATTAGTGTCTCTCCAGTTTGATATCTAAACAGGCAAAGTAGGACAAATGGGGGGAGGGGAGGAGGACACACTATCTTTTTAGCTTTCTTGGCATCTGCAACTAAATTTACAGTGAAAAGCTGCCAAAAAAAAAAAAAACCTTACTTAGGCCTACATGTATAGTAGTCCCCAGGTTAAGAACGTCCAGTTTACAGACAACCCATAGTTAAGAATGGAGCCTATTGTGGCAAAATTCAAGTTAAATACACAATGATTCGAGTTCAATACACAGTGGTTTGAGTTCATTACACAATACTACTTATACAGTTTTATACAATAATACTGTTCTGGCTTACATACAAATTTGTCTCAAGGACAGACCTTGGGAACAGAACTTGTTCTTAAACTGGGGACTACCTGTATGAAATTACTTTTTCCAACATCAGAAAGACTGGTTTTTAAACACAATATTTTTCCAAAAAATCTTGACCTTCAAGAACATATGCTAGCGATAACATAGCATCAACAAGAACACACTTTTCAAATTTCACCATAGAAACATATGATGAGTCGTGATCTACAGACTCCAGGGATCATAGATTTGAAGGGGCTGGATTGAAGCCATTTGCAAGAATCCATAAATAAATTGAATAACATAAATCTAGACTGTTGAGTTTGTTGACAGACAAGGAAAGGAAAGAAGCAGACAATTTACAAGGTCATAATACATGAAAGTTTAAATGACTACTGTTGTGAAAACAATTCAAAAAAACCCCAAGATACTCAAAAAGCTGGACAATATTTGATTTTAAGGCTATGCCTGTTGGATGGAGGACACGAGGACAAAAAGAAGGACATGTCCTTTTGCCAGACATCTGGTAACTCTACTTCAGATGGCTCTTTTAGCAGCAACATGGCCAATGAGAAGGAATGCTGGGAGTTATAGTTCAGCAACATCTGGAGAGTTACAGGGTCCTCATCACTCTGTTAAAGCAATCTGTCTGAATACAATTGTGTGGCATTTTCCCCCAGCGGTAGGCTTTCTCTACTGAAGAACTACAGCAGAGCTTGAGATATTTGGGAAAAGAATTTGTCTATTCATCCCATGGGAAGAACTGTTTTTTGCTTGAATCATACTTGAACTTATTGCCTCCAACAAAGGGCACCAGTCAGAATATGTTACTTTGGCAGTGTGGTCAAGTCCGTAAACAGACATGTTTGAAAGAATCCAAGATGGCACCTACTTGAAGTTTGCACAATGCAAACACTGTCTAAAAGGCAGCAGCCAATGGCATTAAATGTACTTTCTTTATCTGAGGTTTTTCCCTCAGCAAGTTCAGAGGAGCAAGATATACTAATCTATAGAATTCTGTCTCTGTATCACATCAGAAGTAGCAGATTTAGCAAGTAGTGCAGAAGGTAGATTCTGGAGATGCATAGATATATTGAAATGGTGGACTCCAGCATGTTGGACAGGAAATTTTAGATACATTGTGTTATAACTTCATGCTCTGCTTGGGAACCTTCAAGGGCATGACCAATAACATTAGAATTTTCAGACCTGCATATGAAGCTAAGGAGCAAAACTGTTGCCTTAAACTTTACTGTTTTCCCCCTTAATCCTATCCGTTCACAAAAAAAGAGGGTTGAATGTATTGCACTCAACCTGGAGATGTGTGGACTAAAATTTACCTGCCTCTGATATTGAAAGTGAGGCTTTGAGCAGAAACATATTATACTTCCTACATGAGTGCTACTGCAAATGCCCTTCCTGTGGCAAACTCTTCCTTCATAAAGTTTTGGTAATTATACACCCAACAGATGTCAAGTTGTCTAATGGCACATTTTCCTATCCAGGCCACAACATTGGCTACTGGTGGTAGGACAGTCATATAATGGAGCCAAACACACACAATCAGATGTCTTTAGCTATAATAAATATACTTGTCATAGGGGTGTCCTTTCTATTGAATGTGGTGGCCAGTACATTCTGTACATTTGGGGCATTTTTATGAAATTGCAAATGATGTATTGCATATTTAGGTTTGCTCTTAAGGTAACCTAGACTGTTCTTCAGAAGCAATAATATTTTGATTTCTTGGTAGCTAGCCTTATGTAAACCTGTAAATATACTTCAAGTTCCTTGGCACTGATTTCATTATTTAGATACCAGTGCAAAAGCAACATTTTAAAATTGCAATCCTGGCAACAGAGTTATAGAAACTTGGTTATTAATATGAGAAGAGAATTGTTTGCACAAGACAGTGTGACTTCAGTATAGCAGCAGCTATCTTATATTCTCATGAGAATGCCATTTTTCACTGCTTATTTGAAAACAAAAGAGATGAAGACTGGCAGGAGCCTCAAAAATTCTGAAGGGACTTCTTGAGGAAAAGGGGAAAGGAAAGAATAATATTTTGCTTTCCAATTAGGCGAGGGTTGGTGACTGGCTTCCAGACAGCCAAAACGCACAAAGAATATCAAAACCATTGTTTGAGATGTTTAGAATGTAAGTTCATGGTAGTCTCATCAGTGTGTAAGAAAACGTCCTGCAGCTAAACAGCTAAACTTAATAATCTTCACCTTTAACATGCTTCACAAATAATGTACTGCTGACTTCATGCAATGAAGATTAGGATGGTCCTGACCCAGCTGGTCTTTCATAAGGCAATAAAAACCTGGTTCTGTGCCCAGGCCAGGGGCACTCAGTGTGTGAAAGGATCCGTCTCTTGGCTGTATGAGCTGCTGTGTATTTTAATGGTTGTAATTTATGATGTACATAAATGTTTTTTATTTGATTTGTTATTGTTCACTGCCCAGAGTTACTTGTTGAGATGGGTGGCTCTATACATTAAAAATTGATGGGGCTGCCCTTGAAGATGTTCAGGCTATTCTGTTTGTCCAAAACTATTCAGAAACTGTGGAGCTTTCAAGAAAGGCAAAGCACAAGTGAATTATAGAGTTCGTAGCCTGAAATAGTCGTTAGGTTATATGGCTAGAGAAATTCAAGGAACAATTGTGGCTATTAAAGTAGCTACTTTATGGAACTGTGCTACCTAAAAGTCACATGCAGGTAACTGAATTTTTAAGGATTAAAAGATCCAATCAAACTAAACAAGAGAGTTTTATATATCAAACTGATAGAAGGCAACACATTTCCCTTTCTTCCCTTTACTAAGTATATCACACTTTTGCCTGATCCTTTCAGCTGTTGTGTGGGAAGAAAGCAGCATCTTAGATGATGGAAAATGTGACTTCACTGCACTGTTTGTCTTGATGAGATTGTTATGTGGTAGACTCCTACTTCTATCAGCCTTTCAAAATCACTCTGTCCCAGAAGGTTTAATGGAAAACATGTTGGAACTTTTTGGCTAAGATATTGATCACTTCCCATTGGAAAAACTGTGCTTTCTTCTTTCTTTGCATTTTCTCATTCCTCCAACTTGGCCTTTTTCCAGCCCTTTTTTGTATTCCATCTCCCCTAGCACAGGTTATTGGGACTTTCCATATTCCCAACATTCTTTAAAAAAGAAGAAGGAGGAGGAGGAGGAGACTTCTGAGCAAATGCTGAGTTCACACATTGTGTTAAATCAGACTGTGGTTTTGGCTTAGCTCAGGTAAGAACCCAGCCATGGTTTATGTCAGAGGTGGGCTATGTGAGGCAATCCCTGAACCATCCCCATTTTGCATCACCAATTTGTCTTCCACTCATCACAAAATGTTAGTTTGTCCAAAAGTTCCCCACCCTTACTTATGGTCCTACATTATTTACAAAACCAGCCATTGCATTTTCTTTGACTAGGCTGTTTTAAAACACAGTTAACCTTAATGTAATTCAGTCTATGTGTCAACCTAAAATGGCTCATTCAGAAAGAAATTATTAACAACATTCAGTTTGCCTAAACTATCTATTCATAATTAACTGTACTTGAAGATACAGATGTGAATTAATGCAATGCATGAAGTCAGCCCATGACAAATGGACTAAATTCATACAACCTGCTAAGCTATGATTTATTTAACCATGGCTTACTTAACCATGGCTTATTGAATCAAACACAGAACATACAAACCATAACCAGGTTTTTATCAGCTGGGAATTGCAGTCCTAACAATCTGGAGAATACTAGGTTTTAAGAAGTTGCTACAAGCCATGATTTACAAATCATCATGACTGTTAATACAGCACACTAATCATCATGAATGTATTATTACATCATCATGAATGTATTAGGGAGTCCTAGTAGATTACAGCACACTAATCAACAACACACAAATAGACTAATAGCTTAACATATTGTGTTGTTTATTCTATCAATAGCCCTGAGTTCAGGAGCAACAACATTCATGGCTATTTCCACTAATGTCCTATTTGGGGACTACCCAGAGATAGATAGGCACTGAGATAAACTGGATACTGAATTTACTTACTGTTTTAATCCAGTATGACTTTTTTTTTAGATCCTAAGAGTTTATCCTTCTGTGTGTGTGTAATATATAATGTTTTTCTTTACCATATATGTTTTATCTTTCTTCATTGTGGATGTTTTAAGATTATTTATACATTACTGTTACCTGCAGGGAGTCCTAGTAGATTACAGTTGTATACAGATTGAACAAAATAAATTAAATTAAATTAAAACAAAACAAAACAAAACAAAACAAAACAATGCTCCCTTCAGTTACCTCACATGAGTGAATATCTCTCATTCATTTATACAGATTGAACAAAATAAATTAAATTAAATTAAAACAAAACTAAACAAAACAAAACAAAACAAAACAAAACAAAACAAAACAAAACAAAACAAAACAATGCTCCCTTCATTTACCTCACATGAGTGAATATCTCTCATTCATTTTGGGAGCGTGCTGCAGAACATGTGTTATAACACATAGGCTACATGTACTCTGTAAATACAAGTCAGTCATAGCAGTCATTGGGAATTGGTCCTGGAAAATTGTTTGAAAAGTTCTTTGTCACGTTTCTGGAAGCAAAGTCGTCACCAGGCACCAGCAGTACAGATTTTTGGCAGATATTTTTATGTGGCTTCTCAAAAAATAACAGCTTTCCCTCCTTCTTTCCATATAAAGGCAGAAAGCTATACATGAGGTAGAGAAAAACTGTGTCCAAATATAAAACTCAACTATCAGCTAAATGGCATTAGAACTGAAAGGACATATTTCAGGAATCTGTTTCTGATGTGGGTAACTTGCTCAGAAGTAAATGTTTAAAGTTATCATCACACATTTAAGCTTGTCTCTGCAGTTATATAGACCAGGTTTGCCATTTACATGGAAAATAGCATTTCTGGCCATGTTTTTCAGCAGACCTAGGCACTAAAATGTTCCATTCAGAGGATCTCAGTGAATTCCATGGATCAAAATCAGTCAGTTGTCATTGTCAAGACTACTGGAGAAAGAATAATATCTATTCCTGTAAAGCAAGCATGACAGTATAAGTTGTTGTTGTTTTTTTAATGCCTCTGAAAGCTAAACTGACACCCTTACTATGGTCAGACTTGCCTAGATGCAACTCATTGTTATATCTCACAATGTTGCAGGAAGTTCTGAAGCACTCAGTTTAGTTGGGGAATGGATTAGCCAAGTTGGAAGCAAGTAACTTTAAAAAGATTCTATCTGGAGGGCCCACAGAAACTTAACATCAGTTTTAATGTGACAAGCACTCCTTGGCTTCTCATAAAGAAAAGAACTCATTGTTGAAGGAGCTCACCCAGCATCCAGGAGATCCAAGCAAGAAAACATTAATGTCAATTTAGTCTCTACTTGCTTGGTTTCCAGCATCTGGGATTCAGGGCCATACAATTTCAAAATTTGGGTGGGCCTGTTAATTAAACCAATGGCAGCCTTATTCTCTGTGCATTAGTCCGAGCCAATGGTTACATCAGATTTTCTTTTAAATTAAGTTTTGTCTGACAGGAAGAAATACTTAGTTTGGAGTACTCTCTTTTATTTATTCAACTTATATGCTGAATATACAGTATATTGAGGGAGGCTGGACTGGAAGATGAGTGTGGTTTTAAAATAGGAGGAAGAAACATTAAGCCTGCACTGTACTGATGACGCTACTCTGATAGCTGAAAATACCATGATCTGCAAAGCTCCAGTAATGAAAGTCAAGGATTACAATGAAAAAAAAAATGGGACTAAGATTAAACATAAAGGAGACCAAACTAATGACAAGAGTATAGCAAGCAGCCTTAGAATTGACAGTGAAGATACTAAAGTGGTAGATACCTTTTAGGATCAACTATCAACAACAAATGAACTAACAGCCAAGATACACACCAAAAAATACCTGATAAGATAGCAATAAAGGCCTTGGAAAAGCTTTCCAGATGCTGTGATGTGTCTATACCAACAAAGTCTATAATCAACTCATTCATACGTTGCAAGCAATCCCAGGTCTTCAATTCACTGAGCAATTGGGGCCATAAAATTGTCTTTCCAATATTGAAGGCCCAGTCTCTTACAATAAGAATGGGATGGAGAATCGATTTCCTTTGTCATACTATCAATCTTCCTATCTGTATATTATTTTAGCTGGGAGAACAAAACTGTAGGCAATATCCAATATTTAGCATCAGGAAGGAATACAGATATATTATATTACTGTGGATTTTATTTTTATTCCTTGCCTAATACTCCCAAACAAGAATTTGCCTTTTTCAATGTTGTTGCATGCTGAATTGATATTTTCAGAGTTATATTCACTACAATCTTCCAGTCTTCTTCCTGTTTAATCAATACCAGCCAGTAGTTTCCCAGTTAGTTAATGCCAAGTCATCCATTTATATGCTTCCTGGTAATCCTGATGCTGCCTGTTTCTTCAGGCTAATTATGTTTCATAGATGAAGTCCATTTGAATATCAGACATTCTAGGTATTTTTCAATTCAGGGTGGGGAGAGGGAGCACAGTTCTTACTCTCCCTGAGCATTTTTGAGAGTTGTTTATATCCAGTTGCTTGAATATCTCCTCAGAAGTAAGCTCTTTAACTTGAATGCATTCAAAAGCTGAGCCTCACACACTCTTCTTTTTAAATCTTTGCATCTCTAATAACTGACATCTGAAATGAGGCCCAGGGGAGGCAAATCTCTCACTGGCATAGATACTAGCAAACACTGGCTCCATTGGCCGTCAGGGTTATTCTTATCTGTGTACAAAGCCATTGACCCCATTTCTAGAGGGAAAACAACACAGTAAAATAAATCAGGTCAATTATATCCTGATGTTGTGAAAATTGATGCCAGAGACCTGAATGGAGTATATTTGGGTGCAACTTCTCAGTAGTTTTTGATCCATTGGACTCTGGCCAGAATCTGCTTCTTTTTAGTTCCACAGTTCCAGGACTGATGGAGCCAAACATTGTTGTGAGGAGGGGAAGGGGGAGCAGAAGACTTCTATGCATGGTAGATGAAATTTTCACTTTTGGCCTTTCATCTGCCCTCAGGTTTCTAGTACATGAGTACAGTCCTGGTGCAGATCTTCCCTTCAACTCTAGTCCCAGGAGACAGCATAACATTCTCTCTCTAAATGAGTAGGCAGAACAAGTTAATGCAACTCATATGCAGAGCACTCACATTTACACACATAGGTCATGTGCATATGATCTATATGTGTCACATAGGGACAGGAGGATTGAAAAAAGCTGCATAAATTCTAAAGGCCCAGGCACTTTACAAACTAAGTTTATCCAATCAAAATTAAAGGTGCAGTGTACTCTGTGGAACTCCATGTCCCATGAATTGCAGTGGGATCAATATCTTAAAAACATACCTAATAAGAAGGATCTGTATGCATTTTGTTGAGTAGAGAGAAAGGAAGAATACTTATGAAGATGGTGAATGCGGATCAGGTTTTCAAAGATGTTTTCTCACAAACTGACAGTCATTCTCTTGTTTCTTTATTATGCCAGATACACAAAATCTGGGCTGCAAAAATCCCCAGACAACCTCTAGGTGGCAGCAAAGGGTTAGAATTTTCTGAATCTCTTTGCTGCCACCTAGTGATTGGATTGCTTGGGTTTTTGCAGCTCAGGTATGTTATATTTCCAAAGAAGCAAACTTAAGAGCCTCTGAGATAAAATGTAAGGGCCACCAGTAGAGATGGGTTCTGTAAATGGGAGTGGGAAAATCAGAAAAATGCATGACATGAGGGACAGATGATGAAACATGCATCAAGACAACATGACACAAAACTCATGATATACTTCAGTCAGGCACTGAAACACAAGTTGGTGAAGATAGCATTTGCATCATGGTGTCACCATGCACACATCTCGTTTTGACATAATCTTGGTTTACAACAGATGTCTGTGAGGAGAGGTTGTATCTGCGAAGAGAATAGAAGGCAATATATTAAATATGAGTAAAAAAAAATGGAGGTGAAGGAATTACCTTCATGTTGTTCTTGTGATTATCTAGTAATGTCTAACTGACTACTATCAGGAACTCTAAAACAGTTTTCCTTGACCAGGTGGCTTCCATATCCATTGTCTGGAGGTGATGAGAACTGTATCCAGTACCTCTGGAGGGTATCAGTTTAAGGAAAGCTGTGGTGATCTGATCCAACAAGGCTCTTAAAAAAAAAATGTATTGTATACACATATCCATACACACCCGCAAAATCTTAATCATACACATACTATACCGTCTCAGACAGGAAGTCAGCTGGTGTAATTTAATCACTCATGTATCTATTGATCCTCCCTTGAAAATATATCATTATTTCCTGTTTCCCTGCTCCCATACACAGTCACTTTTAAATTAATTAATCTCTGTCAGGCCCCCAAAACAAAAATAAGTCCAGTTGAAAAAAAGAGAATGATATATTATCTTTTAAAAAGGCCTCACTGAACAAACACCATGATATCAACATGAATGGAAAATCTCATGTTTTCCATATAGCTGCTGGTTTCAGATTCAAATGAGTAATGCTTAAACTATATCTTGACATATATTGGTTCAGTACTGTATACAAATAGCTTTTGCTTTATCTTTTGAGTCTGCTGATCTCAATCCCTCACTCTGCAAATATTTTAGTTCAACAGAAACATCACTTCATTAATTCCACTGTGGGTATAATGTTTTTCTGCATTCTGCTGGTTTCTCATTTCTTTACCCCCTTAATCCTTGGGCATATAAATATATTTGTAGAGTTCAGTTCCATATAAAAATAATATTTCAGTTTTGATTAATGCATGCTGCAACTGACACTGATGCAATATTTTTCCCTATTGTCCTATCCCTCATATCCTGAGAATATATAGATATTGGTCTATAGAGAGAGAGAAGGTAGAAAGAATCAGCTGGGGCAACCTTGGCCATGCTGTCAGAGAATTCTGGGGGCTGTAGTTTTAATGTATATGGAAAGCATCAAGCTGGGAAAGGCTGAGGTATGGTGTTTGGGGTTAGTCCTGACCTCTGTTATAAATTACTATGGATCTCAAAGATGTCTGTGTGTTACAACTTAGAGAAATGTATATATTGCAACACACATTTTTATTGTATAGAGCGACATAGATAACGGAGTTTCTAATTTATACAGCACAGCCATATTATCACAATGAAAAATTTGGACATAAGTGTTTCCTTCTCAAGAATGCTCTTTTGTCCCAGTGTTTTGACCATGCAAAGGCAGATTATTACTCCATGGTCTGCCCAAATATAAACAAAGGCAAATGAAAATGGGAAACTTATAGTGTATCTCAACTATGCAGCTGTTGTAAGATAGTCATTAACTTCTATTGACCTATAATGTTAAACTCCCCCTGTTTGCTCTGAACTGAACTGTTGTGGGCAATAAACCATATGGCAAGTAGGGAAATATTGACCTTGATGATGTAAGTCTGCACATTTGCAACCTCCTAATCATGTCAAACAAATAAGAGCCAGGCGGGCTAAAGATAGATACTGAAAATCCTTTTACCTTTCTTGAAATGGGCTGCATCAGGAAGTACAGGAAATTAGCAATAACCAGTGACATACTTATGTTTCAATCGAGAACTTGTTCCTGTTAGGAAAATTAATTTCAGTTAGACTTAGGGTACATATCTGAATGGAAATATGTCTATAAATTGGTCTATAATAGATAAGTGCTGATTACTGTCATCGTCCTGTTAAGCATGACAATCTATTCATCTTGGTTGTTAAGCAAGGAAAACAGTATCAGGAAAGATTGAGGAGTGGAGTGGTAATTGTTTATTTATTTATTTATTTTATTTATTATTGAATTTATAGTCCACCCATCTCCCCCAGAGGAGATTGTTGAAGTGACAGTGGTATGAATAGCTCCCTGTGGCAAAGACATTTCACCTGCAGATTTAATCACATTGCTCAGTAACCGGTGCCTTCTACTTTCTTAGTTTGGTTGAAGAGTGTAGCAATTGAATCAACTTTTCATCTTCTACTAATAAATACTCAATGACTCAGCTGAACCTTTTCACACAAACAGCATGGACAACTATTTTGTTTTTCCCTTTAAAAGTTAAAAAAAATAACAAAGGAAAAACCTTGTTCACATGTTAAAGAGTAGTAATGTATTTAAACAAACTATATCATCACAATTTTGGGGGGCTGGCAGCTATATCGCCTAACAGATTTCATGTTTTGGAAGAGGAATATGTCACATCCACAACTGAGCAATGAAATTAAAAAAAACAAAACTGTCTCCTTCTTCATCTCAAGCCAAGTGAAAATGATCATTTCAGTAATTCAGCAACATAAATAACAATTGGAACTTCTACTTCATCATCTGAATATTTGGATGGCCCCTTCCATTCTGGTTTTTTTTGGGGGGGGGGGAATTCATCAGGGACTGGAAGGCTGTGATTCCATTCCTTCTGTTTGTGGAAGTGATGATAATGATGATGATGATGGCGGTGGAGGATGATAATTCCCAATCCTAACCCTAACTGATACAGTCTTGTCAGGCTTTCGAGGTAGACCAGACAGGAAACATCACTAGATGAGCTAATTCTACTTTATTGTAAGGTTACATTAACAGAATCTTGCTAGTCTGAAAGTACTTCTCTCCCACCATCTCCTTTACAGCCTGAGAAACTAGGGAGGGTCTCTTCTGAGCCTCTTGCCCTGCCCGCATTCCTGCTATTAGCTAAACTGCCTTTTATCTGACCATTCCCTTGGCTTTGTCTCATTGCCCTGTCTCCCAAGGTCATTCCCACATACCATTACAAGTCATTTGTTCATGAACACTCCGGTCTTCTCCAATCTTCCCAGCATCTCTCTCTCTCTCTCTCTCTCTCTCTCTCTCTCTCTCTCTCTCTCTCATGTGTTTGCCATTACAGTCAGTTAGTACGCATTGTCCTGTGTAAAATTGTAAGCGCAATCGCAGGAATGTGATTTTTCATTTAGTGGCCACTTTGCTTAGTGACCAAGTTGCCAGTCCCAATTGCAGTCTCTAAACAGGAACTGCCTGTATTAGTTCTTAAGCTGTCCATTGTGCTTTGCTTGCTGCAGCTCAGTTACTCCTCTGGAAGATCCCATTTTGCATCTAACTGCAATTATCTCTGTCCTTGGTGAGCTGAGCAATAGAGGAATAAACAACCAAACTCCTCAAAAATAATCAACATTACAACTTCTGGTTAGTCTTTTTTGAACCTACTGAATTCCTGTACTTGTCTTACTATGTGGTTGATGAGTAGAGTATTATTCCACAGAAGTTATGACAGCAATAAACTTCACCCACCAGCAGCCACTACAACATAACAGCTACAAGGGCCTAATAGATCCAAAATGGGCTAAGAAGTAGCATAGCTAAAATCCCACAATGTTTTGACAGAACTATCAAGTGAAAAGCCAAAAGCAAGGCAAATATGCCAAAGAAAGCCATTAAAAAATACCCCAAATCTACATAATCCTTCCTTCCTTCCTTCCTTCCTTCCTTCCTTCCTTCCTTCCTTCCTTCCTTCCTATGTGTACGTGCCATTCTTCAAATATTCAGGAGAAGGCTTCATATTTCCACCAGGGTCATTCTTCTCACAAAATCAGATATATGGTTCTGATCAAGGACTTAGTAAATCTAAAATCAGTAAAGAACCTAATGCACCAGCAGAATATCTCCTCTCCATCATTCTATGTTGTATAAATAAAGATCCTGCTAAATGGCATTCAGAATTTATTGAAGAAATGCATATGTATGCACCAACAGAGGATCTGAATATTTTCAAAACATTGCTGGAAAATTTGAAGCTTCAGCACAAGACTGTACAAAGGCTATGTGCCATTTGACATCTTCAGCTTCAGTGTACATATTCAAAAATGGAGAAACAGGGTCAGAAATGAATGTTACATTGTGATCAGTTGAAAAACATTCTACTTTGCTCCTAAATACATTCACTCAACCAGAATGATGAAAAGTGTTTTTGTGGAATGAGTTCTTTCCCCTTCACGTCGAAAGAAACATGAAAAAGAAATCACAGAGTATGAATATATTTTAAAAAATCTGCTTCTCAGAAAGATATATGGGGGTGCTTTATTGCTGTGATAAAATTTCTTGCAGATACAGTGGTACCTCGGGTTATGAATTTAATCTGTTCCATGACTCTGGTCACAACCCGATTTGTTCGCAACCCGAAGCAAATTTTCCCATAAGGTTCAATGTAATTACCATTAATCCGTTCCGGCGTCCGCGGACCACGCGTCAAGGGCGGAAAAACTGCCGCGGACCGCGCGGCAGGGCGGAAAAACGGCCGTGGACCACGTGGCACGGGCAGAAAAACGGCCACGGACCACGTGGCACGGGCA